TTTTTACACTTTACATGCATCCTCTCAGCTTGCTTTCACACCAACCCAATGAAGAAAATATTTTTATTACCCCCACTTTACAGATGAGGAAATTAAGGCTCAGAGAGTTGAAGTAACCTGCTCAAGATTTCTCAGCTTGTAATTTGCAGAGCTAACATTCAGCCTCAGGCTACCTGATCCAGAGTTGGCTTTTTTTTTTTTTTTTTGAGTTGGAGTCTCACTCTGTCACCCAGACTGGAGTGCAGTGGCTGCTCCCGGCCACCGCAGCCTCGACCTGCTGGGTTCCGGCGATGCTTCCGCTTCAGCCTTCCAAGTAGCTGGAACTACAGGCACGCACTACCACGCCCAGCTAATTTTTTATTTTATTGTAGAGATGAGGTCTCACCAAGTTGCCCAGGCGGGTCTCGAACCCGTGGGCTCAGGCAATCCACTTACCTCAGCCTCCCAAAGTGCTGGGATTACAGGCTGAGCCACTGAGCCCGGCTCAGAGTTGACTTTCTAAATCAGTATAATACCCTGTAATAGTTTTCATCAGAGTAATATATAGTTAGGAGACTCTGATAATTTTACAGGCTAAAAAAAAAAAAGACATCCACATAAAGGAGTTATTTTGTTTTGTTTTTGTTTTACTCCAAAGCCAACTACAAAATAATGTGTACTCTATTTATGTGTCTATCTTGGAAGAGCAAATGGACTCCATGCAGTAATTTTTAAAAGTAAAAGTAGAAAGCCACTGCCTGGTAAGGGAACCTTTGTTTTGCAGTGAAATTGTTTGTGTGCTAAACACTTACACTGCACTCCATGGTATTTGCTGAATAGCACAACCACTGCCATTGAAATGATTCCCTAATCATGATAATAATGACTAGGATTAGCCCAGTTCAATGGGTGCGTGCTTTCCCTGGGACTCACAAAAGCCTTCTCTAGAGATCCAGGCTTTCCTGGTAATGAGAGGTTAACTAACAAGGCTACATGGTATTCTACATGGGTAAATAGCAGTCCTCAGTTCAAAATGAGGGAAATTAAGGAAAAGATAAAAAGGTCTCTGGCCAAATAGAGGAAGATCACACAAAACTGGTCAGCAGAACCCTGTGAAAAATTGCAGGCTTTCAAAATGCTGGGGAAATGGATGTTTCTGTTTGTTGAATATTTAGGTAATTGAGAGTGAAATTATTGTAGGAAAAATTCATTAATTATTTTTAAACTAAAGAACTCTTATTTGCCTCTCAGAACCCTGTTACTTAAAATTTAAACACTTGTATTATTTCTAAAACAACATATGCTCATTGCAAACAATCCAATCTAGGAAAATATGAAGTAAAAGGTAATAGCCCACCAATTCTACTTCCTCCCCAGATAAACTCATTTTTCTTGTATGTCCTTCCAAACACTAAGAATAAACACCTTGTAAAGAAAGAATTTGACTATGATAAAACATTGTCAAGTTGTTGATTACAACTAATATTGACTTTAATGATTCAGAAGATCTTTTGAGTTTATTCTCATTAAGGTTATCAGTTGTCACAGTACAGAAATATGAAGATTCTTGTGTGCTTAGATCCTGATAAACAAGAACTTGTGGGAAAGTTGTGGAGAATCCCTTTTTTGCCCCCTGCCCCTGCTTCTAGGAGGGTTTGGGTTTGCTCAGATCACAGCTAAAGTCATGGCTGGTGAGATATGATAATCCTTCCACCACAGAACAGAGATGACTAAGATGCCTGATCCTTATGAAAATACAACTTTAGGAAACACTGTAGAACACTGGTTTTTAATTAAAAGATTTGGAGCCTATCTTATATTCTGACATTAATATAGGGCTGTTTTTGCTCTCTGAAATTTGCATGGCATGGTACTTTGCACATATATATAATGTTTTATGTATATTTATAGATAAATAACATATTTTCTTTTTGTTAAGTAAGAGAATCTCACATTTGTAAGTTTAGCTGGAGAAAACCAGTCTTATTTATTTTGAGGGAAAAATCACAAGTAGTGTTTTTTTTTCTGAGTTGGAGTCTCACTCTATTGTCCAGGCTGTGGTACGATTACAGTTCATTGTAGCCTTAACCTCCTGGGTTCAGGTGCCTCAGCCTCCCACCTCAGCCTCCCGAGTAACCGGAACTACAGGCACACACCACCATGCCTGCCTAATTTTTTGATTTTTAATCAAAATGAGGCCTTGCCCTGTTGCCCACGCTGGTGTTGAACTCCTGGGCTCAAGCAATCTTCCTGCTTCAGCCTCCCAAAGTGTTGGGATTACAGGCATGAACCACTGCTCCCATCCATCCATGAGTGGTTTTCTAAGACAGAAGTAGTAGGAAGGACTTTATTTTTCTTGAATTTGATAAAGCCATCTTTCCAAATTCCTCTTGCTGAGTAGAGCTCTGAGGTTGATTAGATTAACTGGTACAAAGAACTAGGAGTTTTCTGGGAGGGAAGGGACTGAGATGACCCCAACATTAATATTTATAACCATGAACCCCAAGATTCATGCTTATAAAAACTCATTGGAGGACTCTTCTATACGAGAATAGGATCTGGAAGATAAAACATTAAAGGCTGCCCATGATGGGAAGTTTGTTATGACTGGGTTCCTCACCAGTGAAGTTTAATGTATGTGCTTTTGCTTTTCTTTTTTTTTTTTGAGTTGGAGTCTCACTCGGTCGCCCAGACCGGAGTGCAGTGGCCGCTCCCAGCCACCGCAGCCTCGACCTGCAGGGCTCCAGCGATCCTCTCTCCTCAGCCTTTCGAGTAGCCGGAATTACAGGCATGCACTACCATGCTCGGCTGATTTTTTGATTTATTGTAGAGATGAGGTCTCGCTG